GAGAGAGAGCATGAGAGGGCAAAGGGTCAGAGAGAGAGAGAGAGAGAGAGAAACAGCATGAGAGGGCAAAGGGTCAGAGAGAGAAGCAGACTCCCCACCGAGCAGGGAGCCCGACATGGGACTCGATCCTGGGACTTCAGGATCATGACCTGAGCCGAAGGCAGTCGCTTAACCGACTGAGCCACCCAGGCGCCCTGGGGGGTCCCTTTCTGCTCTGTTGGGTGAGACAGGACCATGTGCCTGGACATATGTTGCCCAAAGCCACTGCCCCTAGACTTTCACGTTCTCTAAGAAACTAGACCCAACCCCCAAATCCAGCAACCACAAGTCAACGTGGAAAGGCCAGCAAACATTCTAAGGCAGGCTGGTAACCTAAACCACTTGCCTGGGGGTTATCTGCCAGGCTGCTGGGGTCTTTTAGTTTCTTAAAATGCCCAACAAGGTCACTCCAAGCTGTCTCTTCTTGTCAACTCTTGTCCCCATGGCCTAACCCTTTCGCTCTCAGTGGGAGCTTCAACTGAGAAAACCCTCCTGAAAAGATTCCACCTTAGGAAGGCTGCCAGACACCCCCTGAAATATGTCATTTCCCACCATTCCAGGCTCTATGTTGATCCTCATTTCCTGCCTGTCTTCTCCCCTCTCCCCTCACACACACATACTCTCCCTCCCTCCTTTTCCAGTTTGCTTCCCTCTGGAGTCGTTCCGTGCTCCAGAGCTGGGAAGCAGATGTGAGAGAGCTGGACCCAGACACACACAGCCGCTCCTGATTCCCCTGAATCTCTCTGCCCGGAATCTAATTTTATCCATGTAATACCAGAGGAACACAACAGGGCTTGAAATGCGAGCACTCAGGGCAGTGAGCAGGCCTGACCATCACTCCCACAAGACCCTGCTCCCCATCTCCCCAGTGCGCTCGTAGGAAAACACCTGCAACAGCCAGCAGGTTCTTCTTCATCTTTTCTCTGAGATGCGGGAGCACCAGGTTCTGGGCCAGATGCTGCCAACAGCTAACCTCGGGCCCTCTGCTGCTTGCTTGGCTTTTCTGAGACTTGCATCTTGACTCATCTGTAAGATTAGGCATCTTTACATCTTTTGTTTCCATCCACCCCTGAAATTTCTGTGCTTCTCTCTGCACCCATTACCTTGGGAAGCCAGGCCAGCCCCTTAACTTCCATCCATTTGTTAACTGATGTCTGCCTTCCAAGCCCCAAACAGGGGCGAGGGCCAGGCCAGTGAGCTTGGGACAGCCTGCCTGTACGTTCCAGTGGTGTGAACATAAGAAGCCACCTCCTCCCTAAGCTTTCCAGCAAAGCTCAGACGTGCTGATAGAAACTTTAGCTTTCATATTCCTTTTTCTACCTAATGAACACCCAACAAGGTCAGATCAGGGAGGCAGGAGAGGGGGGACTGTCAGACATCTGGCATGGAGGAGCCATTCCAAAGAGCCAGATGTATCCCAGGGAGCAGACAGGGACACTGCAACCCAGACTCAGGGGCATTGGCCAGCAAGTGCTGGCCCAGGAAGTAAGCTCTTCATGGGCTTGAGGAAAAGCTCTCAACACCATGGGGAAAAAAGGAAAAAGCTGCTTTTCAGAAGTCATCAAATCACCTCAAATTAAGCCAGCCCTATCATTTGCCTTTTGCTCTTGTTTATGGGTTTTGATTTTGTTTTGTTTCATTTTGGTTTTGTTTTGCCATACCAAAGGTTTTCATTTTATCCAGTCATGTGCTTTTAGTCTTTCCATTTATGGTTTTGGCTTTTGGAGTCCTATTTAGAAAGATTTTCTCCCATCCAAGTACTAACCAGGCCCGACCAACCCCCAAGATTAAGCAAATATTCACAACTTGCGTTTTTTATTTTGCTCTATGGTGTGAGGCCAGGATCACACTTGCTTTTCCTAATTGAGTAATCAGTCATCTCCAAGTGGGTTATTGATACCTCGACCCTACCTAATTTGAAATGTTACCTTTTTTTTTTTTTAAGATTTTATTCATTTATTAGAGAGAGAGAACACGCGTGCAGAGAGCAGGCATAGGGGCAGAGGGAGAAGCAGACTCCCCGCTGAGCAGGGAGCCCGATGCGGGGCTCGATCCCAGGACCCTGGGATCATGACCTGAGCCAAATGCAGATGCTTAACGGACTGAGCCACCCAGGCGCCCCTCTGGATAAAGTTTTGCAGCTACTCTATCCCTACAGGTTGCAGAAGAGAAAAAAAATTGAGCTCCAGGGTAGAGACTTGTCCAAGGGACCAGAGACCAGAAGTCGGGGCTCCTACCTTCTCTCACTATGCTGCTTCTTCACCTCTCTGATAACACTTCCCTTTGCCAGGGGGCACCCAGCTAATGCACTGCATTCACACCTGCTCTTATCTTCTCTCTAGCGTTGCCCTCTCTGTTGTGAGGCAGCACGCTACTGTGGAGTCTACCTTTTGGGCACCTCCGAATCTGAGGAGTCTTCTAATCCTGACGCCCCACATTTGCCTGACTTTGCAGAGCACGAGAGCCCACACCAGGAGGGATCAGGCAGAGAGCAAGGAGACAGAGAGGAAGAACTGGTGTTCTAGAAGTCTTTTCCACCGGCTCTCAGTTCCACTCCCCTCCAGAGTAGTGGGATTGCCAGGTGTCGGAGAACACGGTCGAAAAGGCTCAGCTGGGCCCAGCCAGACGGAGCCTGGTGGGGTGTGAGGTCAGGCAGCCGTGCTTGGGTGATGCCATGTTCCGCCCCTTCCCCCTGCCCGCAGGTACCTGGGCAAAGAGGGCTGGGCGCCAGCCTCTTACCTGAAGAAAGCCAAGGATGACCTGCCAGCCCGCAAGAAGAATCTGGCAGGCCCAGTGGAGATCATCGGGAACATCATGGAGATCAGCAACCTGCTGAACAAGAAGGCATCAGGGGATAAGGAGACTCCACCGGCCGAAGGCGAGGGCCCTGAGGCCCCCGTCACCAAGAAGGAGATCAGCCTGCCCATCCTCTGCAACGCCACCGGCAGTAGTGGCCTGGGCGTCCCTGAGCGGAGCGTCTCCAGGCTGGCCCAGGGCTCGCCAGCCGTGGCCAGGATTGCCCCGCAGAGGGCCCAGATCAGTAAGAACCTCCCTGACCCCCGCGTCCGCCCTGCACCGCTCTTTGGAAAGCGGCCACAGGGTGCAGGGAGATATAGACTGACCCCAACCCTGGCCTCACTCTGTGGACTTGTTTCATGCTAGTTGTGGGTGGACAAGGCAATTCCTCACAACTCTTGCACTGAAGATCAGTTACAGGAGTACGTAAGCCGCTGGCATTCCCGCCTTCGCAGATCAGTGTGTCCCCCAGGCTGGGAAATGGGGGCCCCCTGCGCAAGGCTGCTTTACAGACTCAAAGCCAGTAGAACATCTTTCCCGCCCTTACCCCTCCTCCCCTCCTTCCCTGTAGCCTCCCGCCAGTTACCGGAAGCCTAAAAGACTTGGGAGGAATGGCTTTACCCCTCCCCAAGCCGTCTGAGAGGCGTTCTTTAGGAATATCCTCCATGCTTATAAGAGAAACCCGCTACCTGGCTCCCTCCAAATCTCTGTCCTTCCCTGGCTCAACAGCATCTTCAGTTCAAGGTTAAATTGTCCTACATAAGTTATGAGACCAGCTTCTGTTTTTTTTTTTTTTTAAAGATTTTTTTATTTATTTATTTGAGGGCGAGAATGAGATAGAGAGCATGAGAGGGGGGAGGGTCAGAGGGAGAAGCAGACCCCCTGCTGAGCAGGGAGCCCGACGTGGGACTCGATCCCGGGACTCCAGGATCATGACCTGAGCCGAAGGCAGTCGCTTAACCGACTGAGCCACCCAGGCGCCCCAAGACCAGCTTCTGTTTATGTCCAGCCATCCTTAAAATCTGGAGGAAAGCTGTTTTTTAGTTTAGTTCTGAACTTGGTTTTAAGTTAGCTCTTGTGCTTGAAACCTTTTGGGCACATCAGTCGGGAAGTGTGTCTTGGGCACCCACTCTTGCCTGGCAGCGTGCCAGCTTCTAAGGATTTGGTAGCGAAAAATAGACACGGTCTCTGCTCCTAACTTTTGAAAATCTGATAGAACTACTTACCCTTTTTCCTGAAGAATGCCTCTTTGTACATTTTGAAATGTGCACATCATTTTAGAGGGTTTGTGGATCCCCTGAAACACAGCCCAGGAAGCTTAGAGGTCTGTGGTTTCCTAGTGAAGAAACTACAGTGCCTGAGAGCACGGGTCCTTCCAGAATGTGGGACAAAACCAGGAACGTCCCAGGCTCGGGAGGTGGCCATACCTAGGTTAGGCAGGTTCCAGCGCTGTTGCCTATTGTCTGGCTGGGCTTTCTGAAGCCATGTGTCTTGTTTTAGGCTCCCCGAACCTAAGGACAAGGCCTCCACCTCGCAGAGAATCGAGCCTGGTACGTGCGCTGAATTTCTTCTCCCAGTTTTCTTCCTGTCTCTGGGGGTGCAACCTAACGGCCCCAGCTCATTGGTGGTCTCATTTCAGTGCCTGTCAGTCCAGGGGTTTTCCAGGGCCCTGCTAGGCTGCCAGCTTTGTGGGGCCAGGGGCAGAGAGGAAAGCCTGGCGATCCCAGCCATCCCAGGGGCCTCACTGGACAGTTTATATTCAAAACCGCACTGCACTCCAAAGCTAAATCAGTCCATCCCGGCCACTCCACTGGCAGACATAAACGTTTAGACTGGCCAGCACGAGTGTCCGGCCAGGGCACTGCCAGGGGCTGGAAACGGGGCAGCCGTTCATGTGCGCCTGGAAGCGTGGGGATGAGACCACCCCTGCCCTGGCCAGAAGCCCCAGGGGAGCTCCTATGTCATTGTCCCCTCGAGTTTTCCATGACTAAACCGTGAGTTCTCCTGTCCTCCCATCTCTCTCAGTCCCAGCGGATTATTTTCAGACAGACTCGAATTTGGCAAGAACGGGGTCGTCCTTCCACACAGACCAAATGTGGGGCTGCTAGACGCGGCTGAATCCCACCTGGTGGGGGGTCAGGGCTGGGCTGGGGCCTGGGCCGCATCTGCTCACACACACACACCTGCAGGGCCAGGCATCAGGGCAGGGCAAGTTCCTCAAAAGCAGCTTCCTCCTGCCCTTCGCTCACTGCGACCCAAGGCAGCTGGGCTGTGACTGGCAGGATTAGGACAGGCCGAGCCGTGAAGGATGCAGAAGGTTCCAAGGAATAGGGTGGTGTTTCGGAAGGAATGGTCAGCTCTAGCTTCTATTTGTGGAGCTCGTCCTGTGTCCCTGGCTAGACCAGAAGTTATGTATATATCTCAGTAATCCTCTCATGACCCATTTTATGGACGAGGAAATTGAGACTCAGAGAGGTCACAGGCTTTGCCCAAGGCCGCACAGCTGGTGAGCTGCCGAGCTGGGACTGGAGCCCACACATGTCCAGCTGCAAGGCAGAGGTCTTTTGAGGTCTTCCTGTTACACCACAGTGGCTTCCCTCTCCCTACCCGCTCCCTCCTCCCCCCACACACTTTTTTGTTTTGCTTTAACCCCTTTGTATGATACTGGGACCTACTGAAAGTAATGGGGTGGCATGAAATCCGTTTTGACCAGAGTAGAGAGGCCAGATGAAACTAGGATGTCCGCTTCATGAGGGCAAGGGGTTGTCCTCTTGGTTCACTGTTAAATGCCCAGTGCCTTTGACCGATGTCTGGCACCCAGAAGACGCACGATAAATGTTTGTGCAGTAAATGAACAAGGCTCAGAAGTGATGGCCACAGCCAAATTCTAAATGTCCTTGAATGTCATGCTTAGATATTGGTGTCACCAATCCAGCATGTTCTACCCTGCCCACAGAACAGAGGGTCTCGAGTTTTGTTCAGTGCTTGCCTGACCATTTGGCAGCATCGCGATGAGCCACCAGGGGCCCTCCTCTCCCACCTCCACGCCCCTTTCCACCCCTCCCCGTCCCCGAAGAGATGCCAGATGTCACCCCTGCGGCCCCTCACCTCGACTTAAGGACGTGGCTCTCCTCCCACAGGGCAGTTGGCACAGGCTTTGTTACAACAACCTCTCTGCTTTTTAATTTTCTTTTGGGGACCTAGCCGTTGAAGCATCTATAAACTGGACCTCCAGCGATGTCGGGGTAGAAATTACGGTTACTAACTGATCATTGTGATAGTGCAGAGGAGTTTCAAGTGAATGAGAGGTATTAGTGGAAAGTCTGCTCTGGAGAACAGTCTCTTGGGGGAGACAGCTTGAGCCGCGACAGATCCTTCCTCAGGCCGGTGGCCCCCCCGCTGGTGTAAATGCCTTCTGATAGGCGGGTTTTGCTGACTGAGCCCTTCTCTGCCTTAGGGGTTCCAGCTGCCCAAGCCGCCAGAGCCCCCTTCTGTTGAGGTGGAGTATTACACCATTGCCGAATTCCAGTCGTGCATCTCTGATGGCATCAGCTTTCGGGGTGGACAGAAGGCGGAGGTGAGTCTCGGCCATGAAGCGGAGGGCTTTAAGTCATGCTGCTCAAAGACCTGCCATGTTTCCCATTTATGCCTTGCTGGCAACGTGGCAGGGGGGTGGGCGGGAAAGACAAAAGCAAGCCCCCCCCCCCCCCGGGGATAAGAATTTGCCTTGAGCCAGTAAGTGCCACAGTCGGGACCGGAATCCAGGACTCCTGTCCCCACCCAGTGCGTCCCTCACAGCAGCATTTCCCAAAGCATACGGTGGGCGCTGCTGATGGAGGTGCCTGGACGCAAGGGGCTTCTGTGGTTGAGTAGGTTTGAAGGACAGTGGGTTAAACAAAACCCACCCCAGTTATGTGGTTTTCATTGCAGAACTTGTCAGAGCCTACGCTATAGGGATGTCACTGTGCATCTCTAAGAGGGGACTAGAATAGCGGCATTGCCCAGACCCATTTGGCCCCAGCACACTTTGTCTCCCGGGAGCACCTTGGGGGCCGAGATTCTGAAGAACTCCCCTTAGTGAGTGGTGCTGTTGGGAGAAGGTGGTCCACGCAGCCAAAGTACTAAGGACCTGGGTTCTGGCCATGTCCACACCACAGGCGCCTCTGGCCTTTGATACAGTCCCTTCTCTCCCCAGGCTTTATTTGTCTCTGCCAAGTGGGGTAACAGACTCTGTGGTGCGCCCCCCAGCCTAGCATTTACGAGACTCTACTCTGTGGCTGTTGCAGGGGGCGGAGATCTGTGAGGCGGCTCAGTTCTCTGGAGTGGCTCGTGTAGTAACAGGGTAAATCCAATTAACAGCTGTCGGAAGAGCCCCCGGGCAGCCTCCGCCTGTGGAAATGATGTCCCCAGTGTGAATGTTTTCCATCACATGTCTTGGATTTGGAACTAAATTTCTGAGAGAAATCATTCTGTCAGTGGTGCCTAGGTTTCCAGAAGAGCCTCCAAAGCTCACCATCTAACCAAACTGTCGTACTTAGGATCTACCCAAGCTTAAATTTTAAGTATGGGGAGGGCAGGGCGAAGGAAGGACTATAGAACCAAAGGAAGGAGAAAAGTCCTTCCTCTTTGGTGGGGTCTGCAGAGGGCTGGTCTCAAGCAGAACTTGCCTTCAGCAGTCTCTCTCTCTCTCTTCCTTCCCTGCCCCTCTTCCCCTAGTGCCAGTTTTTTCATGCTTCCCCACCCCCTCCCCAGTACCTCTTTCTCCAGGAGTGTCCCACAATCCAAAATTATCTTCCCTTTATGTTCCCCAATCCAAATATAGCAGCACAACCAGCACCACACTCCTGGCCTTTACCTGATCTCAAATTGCAGTTAAGAAAGAAGCTCTTTGAACTAATTTATACTAACATGGAAATGACTGAAAGACCCTCATCCTTCCCACAGGAAATCATTTAACACAAAGAAATCCTTTCAGCCAGTGGGATTTTATTGGGATCCCACATGCAGCAAAATGACCACAGGCAGTGGGGGCACCAGGGAGGTGCTCTGCAGGGAGGCTCTGGGCTCAGGCCATGCTTCCCAATTCAGCTCACCTGCATCTTCCCATTCTCTTCTGACCTGAGACACCCTTTCCATGGTCACCGACGAAGGACCTAGCAATACTGGGGGTAGGATGAAGGGCAGTGGAATTGCATTTTTTTATACCTATGGATCCTTGGCGAGTTGGGTTCTGTAGGGACAGAAGCATAGCCTAGTGGGAGAGACAGGGTGTCTATAGATGAGGCTGGCTCGACCAGGGTGCTGATGGAGACTTGGAGGACCAGGGGAGAGGGTGTGGGGGAGTAGGAGGTGATAGGGATCCGGGTTTGAATTCCAGCCCAGCACGTATTACCCTGGGCCACTCACTCAGCAGCTCACTTGGCTCATCTGTGAAATGGAGACCCTGTGTCCTAGCCTGGCACATCGTCGTAGGGTCCGGCGATCCTCCCAACTCACTGGCCTGCCCCTCCCCCTCCCTTAGGTCATCGATAAGAACTCGGGTGGTTGGTGGTACGTGCAGATCGGTGAGAAGGAGGGCTGGGCCCCTGCGTCATACATCGATAAGCGCAAGAAGCCCAACCTGAGCCGCCGGACGAGCACGCTGACCCGGCCCAAGGTACCCCCACCGGCGCCCCCCAGCAAGCCCAAGGAGGCTGAGGAGGGCCCGGTGGGCTCTGCCGAAAGCCAGGACTCCCCGCTGAAGCTCAAGTACGAGGAGCCGGAGTATGACATCCCTGCCTTTGGCTTCGACTCAGAGCCGGAGCTGAGCGAGGAGCCCACGGAGGACAGCGGCTCGGGAGACAGGCGGCCCACCCAGGCCCACAGGCCCTCCCCCGCCTCCTCGCTGCGGCGGGCCCGCTTTCGGGTGGGCGGCTCTTCAGAGGATGTGGCCGTGGAGGAGGAGACCATCTATGAGAACGAGGGCTTCCGGCCATGTGCGGAGGACGCCCTGTCAGCCAGACGCTCCTCCCGGGACAGCGACTCCCCCGGGGGCTCTCCTCTATCCTTGGCCAGGAAAAACTCCCCCAAGTCAGGCTCCCCCAAATCGTCATCCCTCCTGAAGCTCAAGGTGGAGAAGAACGCCCAGGCGGAACTGGGGAAGAACCACTCCTCAGCCTCCTTTTCCTCGTCCATCACCATCAATACCACCTGCTCTTCCTCCTCCTCTTCCTCCTCCTTGTCCAAGAACAGCGGTGACCTGAAGCCCCGCTCTGCCTCGGACGCAGGCATCCGTGGCCCCCCTACAGTCGGGCCAAAGAGGGATGCCGACCTGAAGGCGGGGCTGACCTCGTGTGCCCGGGCCAAGCCGTCGGTCCGGCCCAAGCCGTTCCTGAACCGGGCAGAGTCCCAGAGTCAAGAGAAGATGGACATCAGCACTTTACGGCGCCAGCTGAGACCCACGGGCCAGCTCCGGGGCGGTCTCAGGGGCTCAAAGAGTGAGGATTCGGAGCTGCCCCCCCACACGGCCTTCGAAGGTCCCAGTGAGGGGTCCAGAAGAGGCTCTGCTGACCTCATTACCCCCCCAGCCGCCACACCCCCGTGTCCCACCAAGAAGGGACGTGAAGGGCAGGCCACCTCCTACACGACATGTAGCGCCTACCAGAAGGTCCAGGACTCGGAGATCAGCTTCCCTGCAGGCGTGGAGGTCCAGGTGCTCGAGAAGCTAGAAAGCGGCTGGTGGTACGTGAGGTTTGGGGAGCTAGAGGGCTGGGCCCCTTCCCACTATCTGGTGCTCGGCGAGAATGAGCAACCCGACGCCTCTGGCAAAGAGCCAGACACAGTAAGCCCCAAAAGCAAGCAGAACGAGGGCAAGTCCGACAGCCTGGAAAAGATCGAGAAGCGGGTCCAAGCATTGAACACCGTCAACCAGAGCAAGCGGGCCACGCCGCCCATCCCCTCCAAGCCCCCCGGGGGCTTCGGCAAGACCGCGGCTACCGGCGCCGTGAAGATGAGGAACGGCGTGCGGCAGGTGGCGGTGAGGCCTCAGTCGGTGTTCGTGTCCCCGCCGCCCAAGGACAACAACCTGTCCTGTGCCCTGCGGAGGAACGAGTCACTCACGGCCACCGACGGGCTCCGAGGCGTCCGCCGGAACTCCTCCTTCAGCAGTGCGCGCTCAGCTGCCGCCGAGGCCAAGGGCCGCCTGGCCGAACGGGCTGCCAGCCAGGGCTCGGACGCGCCTCTGCTGCCCGCCCAGCGCAACGGCATCCCCGTGTCCCCCGTGCACCCCAAGCCCATCGAGAAGTCCCAGTTCATCCACAACAACCTCAAAGATGTGTATGTCTCCATCGCGGACTATGAGGGGGACGAGGAGACAGCAGGCTTCCAGGAGGGCGTGTCCATGGAGGTCCTGGAGAGGAACCCCAACGGCTGGTGGTACTGCCAGATCCTGGACGGGGCGAAGCCCTTCAAAGGCTGGGTGCCCTCCAACTACCTGGAGAAAAAGAACTAATGGGAGGCCGTGGGTCCTTCCAGCCTGGGTGTGGATGAGTGGTGAGATGAAGACAAAGGGGAAAGGGAAAGTGGGAGGGGGTGGGGGGGGCCGTTAAACCCTGCAGAATGCGTGAGCTCCGCCATGCTCCCCTCCGGGCTGTCCCCCGGCCGGCAGGTAAGGTCTGGCGGGGGCCCACACTGAGCGGGGGGAGCACCGGGCCTGGGACCAGAGGCGAGAAAGCTGAGCCCCGTGTGGGCACCTCGGTGACTTGGCTGATGCATCTGGCACCATTTGGGGCAGGCCAGGGGGGAAACTCTTGATTGTGACTTGGCTGCAGATCTGGAAAAGATGTGATGGCAGGGGCCTCCCGTGCCCTGCCCCTGCTCAGCCTGGTTTCTGTGGCTAGCACCTCGCCACCGGAGGTGGTCCTTGGATCATCCTAAACCTGTATTCGTGAATTGTGCTGGTTTCCCCGGGACTGCGGCCGCCCACCGCGGGTGGCGCTGGGGCTTGGAGGCGTCTCCTGGGAGCTCAGCCCGTCCCTGGGCTGAGCTGTCACTGTCTGTCGGTTGAAGAGAAAGCAGTTCCGCAGGTGCCAGCAAGGACCACCTTGCTTACCCGTCACTGTCCCTGGCCTTGAGAAGAGAGTCCCCTGCCTGGGGCACCCCATCTGCATTGGACCCACAGCCCCAGAGTTTACAGAGCGGGTGGGCGAAGCCATCGGTCTCTTCACCGTCTGCACAGACTTTATTTTGGGTGTTTCTGGGTGGGCAGTTCTTTTGCATGTTTTGGGAGAGGTTTATTGATTTGGGGCTTCTATGTCAGCCCTTGGGTTTTGGTCTTATTTTAGGGGTTGTTTGGGGGCCCAAGGGCGGTCAGCCTCATGGGGGATGGGACGAGGAGCAGATGGGGCTTTTCTGTCATGCTCTTGCTGGGAGGTTGTTGGTTGTGTTTGCGTTTCACTTTCTTTCCCTCCACAAGCCAAAGTCCCTTCATTTGGTTCCCACTGTTGCCGACAGGACCCTAGCATGGCGCTTGCTGGGGGGGCCTGGGGGCGGAAGGCCCAGGTCCCAGACGTGGCAGAGCAGAGACGCCCCAGTGGGGGCAGAACCCTCCCCAGGAGGGAGGAGGGGCTTGTCCAGGAGAGAAGGCAGCTCTCAAGCTGCTGGGTGAGCACCGTTCTGCGTCCGTTCTCCCGCCTGGGCAGGACCAAAAACCCTTACCTGTGAACTGTGGAGAAGCACCCAGCGCCCCCACCAAGGGCTGAGGGGACCCCAGCTGGGCGGCCACCAGCCACCCCCTACCTACACATGATGCCACAGGTACCCGAAAAGATGGAGGACCCCCAGGCCGGGAGCCAACCCGGTCTGCCCAAGGGGCAGTGCCCCCCGTGAAGAGAGGAGAGAATAAAGTCCCTGTCAACTTTGGGTTGTCTTTCGATCGTTGACGTTTCAGAGGGGACCCTCTGGAAGCCTCGGCTTCCCCAAGGACTCCCCCTTTGCTGGGAGTGGAATTCCACACGTGCCTTTGATTGTGGACCGATGGGGCTTCACGGCCACCAGCTCAGCTGCCAGCGGCCCGGACTAAGAGTCGGTGTTTTCTACAAAGGAGGAAAGGCCCTCCCTCTCCCCCTGCTCCCCCGCCCCCCAAGGCAGTGTATGTTGCCTGAAGATCAGCACGGGAGCCTGGCCTGTGTTCCGTGCCTTCAG